AAAAATTTCGGAGTTTTTCGGAGTCGGAATCGGAGTCAAAAAATAAAAATTTTCGGAATCGGAGTTGGAATCGGAGTCATAAAAAGAAAGATTTCGGAATCGGAGTCGGAGCCGGAAGAAAGAAATTTTTCGGAGTCGGAGTCGGGTTTCGGAATGAAAAAAGTTGACTCCGCAGGTCTCTAACCGGAACCATGAAAAAAAACACTTAGAAACTGTTAAATCATTAGAGAAGAGACAAAAATTCTTAAATCTATGTCGAGAAATCTTCAATTTTTCATTCTTAAAATTAGAGATTTCAGTAATCGTCTATAATATTATTGTATACGTATTGAAATATGTAGCGTCTTTAATTTCAATAATTCAATAATGAAAATTTCTCAAAACAGATTTAAATTCTTCGTATCTATTTGATGATTTTTGTTCCACGTAATATTCTGAGAACTGATGTCTTATTTTCAGTCAAGGCATCACTGATTACACTAACATCGATGTTTACTGAAGCATTTACTACAATGACATCCATGATCACTGCAACATTGGGACATCAACTCTATCCAATTTTTCCCCTATTATAAGAGTCTATTTTAGTAAATATTAGTGTCATTGTGTCCGTGTAATCAGTTCGTTCTAATTACACTGAGTCGATGACATCGGTGGTCAGTAAACTGAAATTTTACATGGCTGCTTTTATTTCTCTATTTATTAGAATTGCTTATAAATTTTAACATAATTATTAAGTTTGTTTTCCATGATAACAAAATATATGTTTTGAGAAAGCCATTTATTATAAATACTATATCAAGATTTCTTTTTCTCGTATGATAATCTTCATGAAATTAATTTAGATACTGATAAAAATTGACAAATCGTGTTTCTATTTTTAGTACTAAAGTAAAGAACTAAACGATGAATTTTGATTCAATTTTAAGAAAATTTCGACTACCTGAGTGTTTCAAAGAAAACAAAATGAAAGAATGAAATACGAATGAAAAACACTTTACCTCCAAGCCAAGTATCAATGCATAAAATAAAAGCTTGTGGATACTTATTCTTCAAGACATTACCCATTATTGTAGCAGAATTTCCTGTGAATGAACCAACTTCAACAATGAATTGCGGTTTTAAACTTGGATCAAGTTTTTTTATAATTGAATTAAAAACATCTGTTGTAAGAAAAGTATGTGGATATGATCGATCAAGTGTCTTATTGAAATACTTTCGTCCATATCGATAAATTAAATGTGATGATGAATTTCCATATAAAATCGAATGTACTTGATCAAAGGTTACTTCAGTTGGAGCAAGAAAAGGATCAAGCGGTTTACGATGTGCCGCTATAGCATTTAAATCTATGATTTCTTCAGGCATTGTAAAAGATTTTAAAGAATAGCAAATATTCACTTCAGGATCTTTAAACATAAAATAAATGTATGAAGGAGCATTAGTTGTAGCTGTATTCGTTTTATTAACGGTTAAATTTCTATTATTTGTTAATAAATTCAGAGGAACTTTTGAGTAATCTCTATAAATAGTTAAAAATAATATTGTAATGAACAAGACTAATATTATGAACAATTTATATTTTGTATTCCACATCTAAAATTAAAATTAATAGTCATATTAATTAATATTTTATAGGTAATAGGGAGATCTTCTGTAAAAAAAATAAATATTTTGTTCAAAATGTGTTTAATTTTTTAAATAAACTGTTGATAAATTTCATTTGTCTATACAATAATATATTATTTTTATAAATATGTGAGATTGTTCAAGTAAAGAATTAAAAATGAAGCATTGTAAACCAGCTTATATTCGATATTAAGTGATTGATAATTATTGTTGCTTGGAAATATTAAAAAACTTTTTCTTCATTCATCATCTTAATTTTTGCTGCAAATGAAATGGTAAAGTAAGTATTTAAATAAATGTAACTACTTATTTTTCCTTTTTTCCTATAAATCAGTTCATATAAGCCAAAACCATTCATACTCAATTGATAATTGCAGAGTTTATTCAATTTTAGAAATATGATAGAAGAAAATGTTCTATGAATTTGGCAACAGTTGTTTCGAAAAATGTTAAAGTGTTGCTTTTTTTATAGATTCTTTTTTCGAAAGTCTAAAAAGAAACAGAACTCAACAACACAGTACATTACGAGCTAAATATTTCATGAATCACTTGATCAATCGAATTGAAATTTTTCAAAGAGGAATATATTTATTGTTTATACGCACAACAAAATTTTTAGATTAATTTATTCAGTTTTCTCGATTCAATGTAACAAATAAAGTGAACAAAATTAAAATGAAATACTACAATTATGTTTAGCCATTTACATTTTCAAAAATAACAGTGACTTTTTCAAGAATTTAACTATACAGCGCTGATCTATATGATTTTTTTAATATTGATCACTTTCAATTTGCTTTTAAAAGCATATATATTGAGTGTCCTTCATATATATATATATATACTCGTATCAATGTGCATTGTATTGCATAAGAACTGCCAAATCAACTTCATATAACTTTCAATAGAGAATAGTAAGTGAACAATTCTTTTTCTTCCAAGAAAGAGAGTAATTACAGTATCGAGTTAAACAAACAATAGAAAAGAGTCTTATGAGAACATGTCGAAATTTTAACAAAAAGAAAATCAAAGAAAAAAGTATATTTGTCAAACGTTCAATAAGCTTTATGAATCCATGACGATATGTGCCTTTTACCATTTCATGTTTCTTCAAGATGTTGAACGCAAATTTAGACATGTCATTTTTGAAATGATTGTTTCTTTAAAGAGAACAATCATATATCATAGATATACAGTAGGTTGCTTGAACTATAATTTAGATGAATTCTTATAAGAATTCAATCTTGCAACACATTAATTATAAGTTTTATTTTAATCTGCAATAATATATATTCTTACATATCAAAGTTAAATATCGGGTGGTCCAGAAGAAATGGGTAATTGTGTATTTTTCAATTTTCTTTATATTGTCTCACCCATTTTTCCAATTTTTGTTACCAAAAGATGCGCTGTGAAAATCTCTATAAGATTA